AACCTCAAAATACATCAATGAAAAAACAAGGCGCAAAACAAGGTGCACTGAGAGACAGGAAGGGCGTTCATACTTTCAACCACGGACCAATAGAGAAATTATGAGAAATTCACTTCGATTGACAAAATCCATCAAAATCCTTCTGCTTGGTATGCTTGACGATTGCATAGTGACATCTCGTTTGGAGTGTGCAAGCTGCAGAGTCACTAACGTTGCATTTCCTGATATTGAACTTGATAACAAAATTTGATAGCTGCGGTCAAGTTGCGCCAGGCAGCTACCGGAGCTGGTCTTTGTATAGCCTCCGCTGCAAACTTCACAGGAGGTCTTTCCTGTGGCCGCGGATCACTTTTTCTCTGCAGAAGGCTATGCATAGATCTGCAAACCGCCTCCACCCACCTCCCCAAAAAATACTCACAGTTCGAACCTTTGTATTTGATCGATCCTCCAAACAGTTGCAAACACAGTCCTCTGCATATGCAATCAATCAGAAATGAGATGATGCAACGGTAGAAGGCAGAATGCAATGTATTAAACGCACTGACTGTGATTATTTCTTTCTTGTCCGTCCCTACCGCATGATTTGTTTTTCGACTGACTATACCACCTGTGAGCTTCACTAGTACTAGTAGTGGATACAGTATCTCAGCCGAACAAGCTCACGTGCGCTCCCGTGAGTCTTGCTTAGCATGAGTTTGATTTAGGGGCCTAAGTCAGCCAGCTCACCAACCTTACTCTTTGCTCATGTTGCCCCCAAATCCAACGCCTGAATTCATTTTGGCACATCCAGCGCAGAACTTCTCCTTCGCAGGGCAACACTGTACCTCATAAAAGGGTGCAGTGTCCTGACGGGCCAGGAATGGGCAGGAGAAGCTACAATGTACAGGTACTCGGTAGATCCCAATTGAGGGACCGCAAAGAATCTCCATTTCCATGTCAAATGATGTTTTGCTCACGGAGGCACAGAGGGCGAAATCACTTAACTCATACTCATACCAAATCCATCCAAATCCATAAATAGAAACGTGAGCGGACTATATTATATTTCAGAGGCGTACGTAGCATCCCAGTGTTGGAACTGCTAAACAACATAGGTTTTGGTCCGGCACATGTGGCAATACACTGCAAACAGCAAGAAAAAGTCAGTCCTTCGGCCAAAAGAGGGCAACGTCGGTGTCATCGTTGCATGTCATCGCATCAGAACCCAATCCACTTGATTGATTGAGATCGGTTCGTTGTACCGTCACATCCAGCATGTTGGATGAAGAGTCAATGGGGACACAGGATTCAAAACGATCGTGGGCTTTGGGAGCTAGCCTCAGAAAAGCACCAAAGCACAAGCAGCGAAATCGTGGAGAGCAAACAACGCAGCCGTCGGCCAAAGAAATAAGAATATGCACAAAGTATATCGAATTATCACAAATCTATGCAGTCCTGATATTGTGTTCCGCAACCAGCTCCACTGCACGGCTGTGAGTGCTACTTCGACAAGCAAAAATCACATCCTGAATTTTTACTTGCGAAGAGTGCTAGTGAACGCTGAAGCTCTGCGAAGAAGTGCATGGAAACATAGGGAAACGTCTTTGTAACGCCTAAGTCATGCCTAGTGGTTTCGAAAGGCCATTCCAATGCGACCTGCAATCAATCATTGCCAAACGCCCACTACACTTACATGACAAACCTTCAAACCCACTGCACAGTGCAGACTAAAACGAAGATATCCGCATGAGCGGCAACAACAACCTGAGAATCACCCGTAGTGGGGACGGGTCTCTAAATGTCTTCAAAAACAAGTACCAAGCAAGAAAGAAGATGAAAGAAGCTGGAGATTCCCAAACAGGATAATCTGAGCAATGCTGTCAAACATCCAAATCACAACCTAAACGCCATCTTGTATGAATCAATCAACATACCTCAAACATGAAAACCTGATGGTGATAATGATCAACCACACAATCTCATAAGAAAAAGGGTTACATATCCAGACAGCAGAGCTCCTCTGCGATTTCGTTTATGGCATATGGCACGACTTTTCCACAACACTTTCCCCACCAGAACAACGTTGTTTTTCCCCAATGCAGGAACGACTTTGTCACATGCCCGTATAAAATGATACACTGCGCGTGTTGCACCCAAGCTAGCCAAAGCTTAGCAGTGGAACCAGTGGACGGATCAAACATGATGAACCTGTCAAATCAATGGGCCTGGAAAAGTGGCCGAGCCTCCTCTAACCAGCCGCTGATTGAAAAACCTTGTCTTAGCATGTGGCATGGTGTGCAGCAATGCCAACTTTGTGTGCAACTGCGAGCAAGCCACTTTGCTACATCTTCTGACACAGCTGCAAGCTCCACCTCTTTCTTGAAAATGTCCTGCACTTGCAAAATCAACGACCTGTCTTGGGTCTCTAGACTCTCGATTCCCATAGCAAACATCCTGAATCCCTCGATTCCCATAGCCTTGCTTGCCCTTGCTGCAGGATCCACACCATTTCACCACAACAAAAGCCCTCTTATCCAAGACATCCCAATGGTTGTCTTATTGGTCTTACTTGATTAAACAACGCATGTCAAATGATTATCGTGCCATTGAAATAGTCTGAATCTCTGGCAGTTGAACAAATTCAAAACCTACAGAGTTTAGACAAACCCAGGCACTGGATGGCACTGGCCTATGTTGGGTAGGAGCACCTCATTCTGTATCAGTTTTATTCAGTTTATAGGATTTCATAGGGATTGCACCTAAATTGGCCCTGCAACGGCTTGTACCACGACTATCAATTAGTTGAGGGATTGAAACCCAGTCACTTCCAGGAGGCGCTCAATTTGTTCTGTATAAGCCATTACCTCCAGGGTCAGCCCGATTAGGAATGTTGAGTTGTACTGGACTTAGATTGATATGAGCTGAGTTGTCTAAGTTTTTCTACTAGACAACAGCGTGAGTACTCCTGCATTAGTCAATCTTGTCCGCATCTACGACCAATATCATGAGGTTCATGACATCCATTTCATTGTTGACCAGGTCAACAAAGGTTCCTTAAACATCCCGTTAAACATGAATGCCACTACATGGGACCACCAGCATATCATTTCTGCCGCCAGGGGTCCTGTTTCAAATCAGTCCAGCTCTTGCGCTGGAGCAAACTCTGGGAGACAGCACAGTCCTCATGATCTGATAATACTTTGCTGGGCAAGACTCTTTATCAAAGCCTCTATGTATACACATCAGTATCTCCATGGCCTATACATCGCATCCTACATATATATATATATATATTATATTATATGTATACATATATTGTACGTATACTATATCTGTATATTATGTAATATAATCATATGTACAATACAAACCAGATCTGCAATCTTCGTGAATCTTGCATGCATTGTCACTTTGTCTGGCAGTGCCCTTTGCACAATCCAGCTGCACCGCTCTACAGTCAGATTCAAGCAAAGAACAGCTGTGCCAAACTGCCTACCACTTAAATGTGAACACCCCAGAAAATCTCGAAGCACCGTATCTGCGCTCCTGTTCAACCAGGCCATTGACAAGCCCTGCTGCCAGACTGAAAACTGCCAGAGATTGAAAGAGCATTGAAACCACCAAGGGTTTCTGCGTTAGAAATGATGAAGGTAAATGTTGTAGCATAACTCGAGCGAAGAGCCAAAGCTGCAGATGTGCAGGGCTAGCTTCAGAAAACGCCAGAAAACTATGCAAAGTCACGCACCCATAGCATGCAGCACAATGCAAGTACCGACAGGGCGGGATTATTGACATATATTATACGTATAATATTATATACACACGCAAAGTGTAATGTGGTTCTGGTTCAATGATCAGTTTCATGGTGTTCATGGTGTTTGTTCTGGGTGTTCTCTGTCTATTTGCAAAATGAATGGCTTCACAGCTTGCACAAGGAAGATCAAGGAAGGATGTATTAGCTCACGTTTGACCAAATGGCGGTGCAGCTACTACGCGCGCAAATGAGTTGTTTTATCGTTTTCCTATGCGTTCCTTGTTCTTTTAAACTTATGATTGACTATGTAGGAGATGGGAGAAAAGAATGCACTGGCTCGAGCTCTGCCAAAGGGAGATAGACATACCTAGGACGTCCTAGCACGAATCGCTTGCCTTGATCTGCGCAATTTGCAGTTTGCACATGTTTGCATGAATCTTTCAGACCTTGCTGCCTCACTGTTGCGACTTGACATCACATTGATACAATACATACGAGTATCCTATTTATTCCTATATGGTTAATCCGTACATAATCATACACAAAATGGATCAAAATGGTTCATACTTAAATACAGTACATTGCACGTCAAAATTACTTCCCGTATCTATCCCTGTTTCCATGGCACACCCGAAGTGTGCGTACTGCGTAGCACCGCGTAGCGCCGTAGCGCCTGTTTGATTTTCAGCTTCAAAAATTAAGCCTCCAAGGTGGACAGCCAAGGCATTTTTGCCAGGTCATCTAGAGGAGGATAAGGCCTGTCATCACTGAACCATCCAAACACTGAGAACCGCGGTGGAGCACCTGCCGCCAACTCCTGCACTTGATGAAGTCGAGGAACCAGGAATGCAACCATTGAATTGAATCGAGGAGCAAGATGAACTGAAGTTGTGTCTTTTGTGTCTTTCTCCTCTGAAGAGTTGACATTCCTATCTTTGCTCCTGTGCAAATCCATCAAAGAGCCTCCGTAATCTTCTTTCCAGTCTTTTGTAAGGTAGTAAATCACGGCAATCTTCCGAAACAAAAGGCTCCCGGCTGGATATCTCGAACTTCGGTTCTTGTCGTTCTTTGCAATAAGGAAGTAGTTACTATCATCGTGTGCAGACAAATTGCCACCACTTTCATACTTGGCTGCCTGAAAACTTGGGAAGAGATCCGGAGCCATAGATTGAATCCGGCCAACAATGTCGTCCAAACTGTCTCCGTCATATCGGGAGAACTTGTGCTTGGCACTCTTGTCACCAAATTCTCCTTCATCTTGATATGCTGCGGAGTTTGACTCAGACCAATCTGAGTTGTGCAGTTTTTTGAGAATTTCTAAACCCTGCTGTGCGACGTCTCCTGGAAAAATGTCTGACACTCGGATCAGTCCTCCGTGCTTGAGTAAGATGTTCTTTAGATCCATTTTCTGAAGTTCATGCCAAAAATCAGCACCTTCCATTTCGAAATCTCCAGCAATGACTTCTGAGAATTCTGAGATCGTTGCGTCAAGTCGTTCTGGTTCAGGAACGCGTCGAACATGTTGAGCCTTGATGCTTGGTGCCTGTGTCTGCATCATGCCAGCAAGGAGCTGGCTGAGATCTGCACTTGCGATGTAACCAGAGTCCAGTTGCTTCCCAGCATCTGTGGATCCTGTGATTCCTGTGTATCTTTGTGTCTTGAAATCGTTCACTTCATGTGCAGATTGTGCAGCCTGAATGCCTCTAGATTTTGCAAGCGACAGCAATTCATGATGTGTCGGAAAAGCACACAGACCCTCTTTCAAAACTTGGTCAGCAGCCTCCGCCAAGCCAATGTCCTGGAAGTCTCGAAAAGCAGTGACGTAATACTCTGCTGCCATCGGTTACTAGTAAAAGTGACTATAAGACCGTAAGTGAGACAATAGGTGAGACTATAGGTGGCTATAAGATACTATAAGATACTATAAGTCTTTGACATTGCGTGGGATCATGCGGTCTCATCGGACAAAACATGACACGGATGACACGACGTTGTGTTGGCTTTCTTATGCTTTCTTGAAGTCCAGGTCTGCTTAATCATCTTAATCCTCTTGAAGCTGCGAAATACTGCGAACGTTGATGCAAGGATCTGGCTCAGGATGCTCAGGATGTTCAGGTTCACGCATTTAAATAGTCTATTTAGGGTCAATATGTGTCAATCACGAATGCGCTGCACTTCCTTGAGTGTTCTGCCAGAAAGACTCTAAGATCCCCATCTCCCCCAAGAATTGCAGATTCTGCCATATCCATTAAGGGTAATTATTATATATGTAAAAGCTTATAGTTAGTTACAGCACTTTGGCCCGGAATCTGGCATATGCAGCCAGTTCAGCCACTTCGTTCAAATTCTTTGAACATGGTGCTTTGAAAGACACCTCATGGATCCTTATGGTTCACACTGGAAACAACAAATAGACCAAAACTTCAGGATCAAATAAGCCAACCATGTCCGGTGACTTTTCAACAGGCTTCTTGAATAATTGGCTGATTAGGATCCCACATGATCCCACTATACAAATTCATACACACTTGCCAAACGGGCAATGAATGCCGTTACAATCGCATCATTTTTCCCTGTGCCGCTGCCCTTCGAGTAGGTTTGGGCCTTTTTTGCCAGACCGTGAAACTTGGACCGGTGCCCAAAGGCCAATGAACTGACACAAAGCGTCGCTATGCCGGAATTGTTGTGACATGCTGTGACACAGTGTAATGTCGTGTAATCTCAGGGTAAGGGAAGGTGAGCAAGAAAGTGCGCCGCATGAAGGGTTTTTCCATTTTTTTTCGATCTTTTGTGGAGATGCAGAGGCCACTTTGGACTTCTCAAGCATCCTTCTCCCCAATCATATCATAGATGCGCCGCATCACTGATGATCTGTCCTCCATCTCCGCAGAATTAGGATAATATGTTCACATCTTCTGCCTTCTGACTTATGATGGTCTTAGTTCCCTCACAAAAAGTTTGTGAGTTTGCCAAACATGAGACAAAGTTGGGTCAAGATTCTCAAAAAGAATCAAAACATGGTCCTTGTTTAAGGCTGCAACCACGAGCATCAATGCGATGAAAATCAATAAGCCAACGGCAAACCTGCGGCTTCAGAACAAAGGATACTGAAGAGCCTATTTCTGACAGTGATTCCTTCCATGAGCACTGCAAACAGGGTATGAACCAGCCTTGGCACAAGTGCCGTTCTGTGTATGCAATGGACAGCAACTGCGCCTGCACGAGGCCATGCAAACGGTGCAAAAACAAAGGTGGGCCAAAGGCGGGGACTTCAATGAAATTTCTTGGTCAAATGATGTCAAACGTCACTTTCAGGGTCTTTTCATGGCTTTATATCGTTTATGTATTGTCCTAGCACACGCACACAGACACAAACGCACAAAACAGCTGTGCGCGCACAAAAAACACAGGTCACCGACACAGAAACAGTCAAACCAACAAGCAATCAAACCAGTGCACAAACCAGCAAAGTAATGAGCCAACCGACTGCAAACCAGCCAAGTTCAGCCAACCAACCAACGAAGAGACATTCACATAACTTGCTTCTCAAAGCAATCTCATTCCTCTGTTAGTCTTGCTCAAGTCCCGTTCTCAGTCAGTCTCTTGACCACTTAGCCTCCATGCTTTTGCGCGTCAACACAGCCACTGAATTGCTGAAGGCAAAGGGCAGTGTTGCAGCCCTGGCCATTC